GCCGAGCAACATGGATTTCGGGCGCACCATTCCACCGCCACTGCTGTACTATCTCTATCACAAAAAATTAACGAAGCATTAAATAATAACCTCCTTGTAGCAGTAGTTTTTCTTGATTTAAAGAAAGCATTTGATACAGTTGACCATGATATATTACTAATGAAATTAAGACACTACGGTTTACGTGGCAAAATTTTTGACTTATTTTCTAGTTACATGAGCGAACGTCAACAAATGGTGATTATGCATAATCTCACTTCCTCCCTGTTAAATATACACACAGGGGTACCACAAGGCTCCGTTCTTGGACCCTTACTGTTCTCACTGTACGTAAACGACCAACCAAACATATTGACGTCGGCGGAGATGCTAATGTACGCTGATGATACAGCCGTTATTGTTACTTCAGACAATATAAGGGATCTCGAGCATAAAAGTAATGTAGAACTAAAAAATGTTTGTCAGTGGTTTATAGCGAATAAACTAACACTGAATGCAAAGAAAACTAAATACACTATTTTCCACTCCCGTTATCGAGATATAAGTAATGAGTCCATTTGCATTACAATAAATAACTGCGTGCTTGAGAAGACGAACGAATTCAAATATCTGGGTGTAATTCTCGATAGCCAGCTAAACTGGCAAAGTGACATTAACTCTGTATGCGCTAAACTGGGATCTGGATGCAGTATATTATTAACCGCTAGAAATTATTTTAAAAGTAGTATTCTCCGAATTCTCTATTTCACATTTTTTCATTGTCACCTCACATATTGCATAGATTCATGGGGATGGACTTTTAAAACATACCTAGAACCCTTACGTATACTACAAAATCGAGCACTTCGAATAATAAACAATGCTAGATATGATCAACACAGCGCGCCATTGTTTCGTAATATGGAAATCATGCCATTCGATAATTTACGACAGCAAAAAATTGCACTTACCGTCTATAATGTCATTTCTTATAACCTGCCCTTTCATATATCAGTATTTTCATCCTCTTGCCGCCTTACCAGACGTGCCACATTACATAATTTCAATCTTCCGCCTACTAACAATGTTTATGGCAAACGATTGCTACAATTTGCTGGAGTAAAGGTCTGGAATGATATACCATGCCAAATAAAAGAAAGCAAAAGTTTTGCCTGTGCTCTTAAAAAATACTTTTTGCAGAAAAATGAACAGGTACGCTAACACACACCTCGTTGTAATCTCCACTTCGTTATGTATAGATTATATGTCTAACAAAATCATACATGACATGGTATACGTACCTTTATGTATTTGATGTATTGTATACATACAATCCGTTGTTTACATGGAACAATGCTGCAAAATACTGCAAATGACTTATCACAAATATGTTTCCTTCTTATATTTTGTTTCGATTTTTTTGTATGATTGAAGTGTACTTATAAAATATCTGCTTTGTTAACACAATCTGTTCCTTTAAATGCATATTTACTTAGACCCCCTACTAGCCAGTGGCTATGGGTCTAACCAGTGTTGTGTATTTTCATGTAATAAGAGAACTTGAAATAAAATGAAATGAAAAAAATGAAATGGTACTAAATAAAAAAAAAAAACTTGCAGTACAAAAGCTTACCAGTGCATGGAAGCTTTACGAAAAATTCCTTTCTCACTGATCACCAAGTGTTGTTCTGTGAACGATAATGTCTGTGTTGAGCATTGTTCGGAAATAAAAACATGCGCCAATGGACACAAATGAGATACTGTGATGCGCTTGATAGTGAATGCGGGGACGAACGGCCTATTACAATTTCTGCAAACTAAAAATGATGCAGTGCAATTTACCCCCTTCCTCCTCTAAAGATGGTGCCGCATGCGAAGCAAGCGTGAACATTAAAAAAACAAGTGATGTGTGCGTGGCTTAGCGATATTTTCATTAAAGAGAAGTTTAGTGCTTGTATTTTTGTGCCCTCCCTCTCTATGTTTTATTTTTTGCTTTACATTGGACAAAAATGTAAAGATGTCCTGTTGGCATGCTTTTAGTATGTGTTAAGGGGACAAAGGAAAGTTGACTGAATGTGTAAATACGTGAATGTGATTGGATGTCAGAAACGTGCGATTTTTTTCAATCGTACGCTTAAAAGTACGACCAAACAGCACTCCGTTTTTCTAAAAGCGGACCAATTTCTTTTGCAGTTCCTGCTGCAATATGACCAAATTACTCGCTCTTAGAAAGCGCTCGTACGAAATTCTAGCTTTCGTTAAAATATTTTCACACCGTGTGCACTTTGGGCGCACGTAAAAGAACCCCAGGTGGTCGAAATTTCCGGAGCCCTCCACTACGGCATCTCTCATAATCATATATGCTGGTTTTGGCATGTTAAATCCCACATATCAATCATCAATCAACACCGTGTGCACCACCAACAATATAAGTATAAGGAACTGTTGGCAGCACGCAAAATCGTGGAGTGAGTGGTGTGGGCAAGCACCGTCACGTCACGATGCGCTTGAGTTAGTCTAGGCGGTGTTGCCACAGCGCGGCATTAACGGCATAGAAAGAAAGGCGCGTCTCGTCTCTCCCACACCGTGACGTGTACGTGACGTGCCGATGCGTGTGCGTCACGTGATGCTCCACTCCGGCTCCGGGAGCATACTGTTGCTTATGTCCAATTACAATGGCAGATAGCGAGCGTTCGGTTGGATTGTCAATGGAGCGTGTAGATCTGAGCGAGATTGCTATCGCAAAATCTGCGATATGAACCTATACGCCTCGACTGGAGCTGTCGACACACGCAAATCTTGCGAGGGGGCATTGGGGAAGGGGGCGAAGCGTTTTCCTGCCCGCGACTTCAAACATACCACCGTGAGGCTGTGAAAGGTAGGCGCACGAACTACGTCACGCGAACTTCCGGTAAAATCTGCCGATTTTCGGCGGAGCGAGAATTCTTGGTCCACGGAGTAATCCATAATCGGCGGTTGCTCTTAATCTGCCATTGGAATACACAGTTCACGTTCCCGATCTGCTATCGCAATATGATTGCTCCACTCGGATCAGAAAAAGCTTATCTGGATCTGCCATTGGAATTCAACATTATACTCCTGCTCCGGGAGTTTGGCTTGCGAAAGCCATAAAGAGGGTGAGTGGCAAGGATGCGAAGCTCACATCCTCGCATTATAGAGTCGCACCACTTGAAGATATTATTAGCTTTGCTTGTAATTAATCTAATTTATTTTTGTGCTAATTGCTCTTTATTGGGTACGTAATAATTTCCAGTGCATAACTAAAGTAGGGTATGCGTTCTAGTGAGGGACCTTTTAAAAAGTTTCGTGGTCGTAATAAAAGTGTAGTATCTTCAATCATCGAAGCAGGCACGCACCTACATTTACTCCATCGTCACCCATTACTACAAGTCCCTGCGAATGTATGGTAGTATTGCGAGAGGTACCGGCATCGATACCCAGCACCTCCATCCCCTAGAAAGGGGTATCTTACAGGCACGCAGCAGTGGTTTACTTGTCTTGTCTTGTCGCCTAGGATATCTTGGCTCATACCCACATGGGGGATTGGCCACACTGTACCTCATAATAGATAATATTTTTACAACGCTTGCTAAAAAAAAGAAACGAAAATTAGATTGGAACAATAATAATCTTCCTTTAAACAACGTGAAAAAGTGCAGAAGAATGCGATAAACCAGAATATATAAAACAAATTAACGAGAATGAGGAAGGGGGACAAAGAATTGGATATACCTGGCAGTACCACTGATTTGTTGGTTTACTTAGAACAAATACTAGCTCGATGCAGGCCCGCGATCACAGTCCGACGTCTTTCTCCTTTCTCGATCTGCTTGAACCCTCTTTCCACCACCCTCAATAACTGCGAAAAACAAACGTGTTAAGCGTTGATAAATATTTAAGCGAAGCTAGAGTGATGTATTGTCACCGCTTCATTGAGGGACAAAAAGCGATAAAAAGGGCCTTTCCCGGCATTGCAACAAAAAAACATGGGCGTAGCCAGAATTCTTTTCGAGAGGCGGGGACAGGAGGGGGCGATGAGCTTCAACCAGCCTCCATGCACGACTTTACGTACATTTGCATGTGCGCGAGTATATATGCTCATGCAAAACTGGGAAATTTCGAGTGTGTTTCGATCTGGTCACGGCTACGCTATAACGACGAGATGCTGTTATCGAAACGGCTCTTCCGCAACAAGCGCACCCTTCAGCGCTCTCAAAAGACTCGCATAAAGACTGCACACGGCACGCAAAGCCTGTCTGGAAGGGGCGCCGCGCTGGCAGCTGTCAGTTGAAAAGGCTCGGAGAAAAAATCAGAACAAAGCCGCACAATACTTTGCAGCGAATAGGGAAACAGGTGGCAGGCGCACAGCACAAAACTCGTCTCGTACGCAACTCTAGCCGCGAAAAAGCATCCGTCACTATATTTTATACAAACAGGAACGAGCACTCTACAGGCCGAGGTACAGGCACGAAAAATTCACCCAGCAGGTCGCCAAAGATCGCCCGATCTGCGAGTTCCACATCTTGTCTTGTCTTGTCTTGTCTTGTCGCCTATAGGATATCTTGGCTCATACCCACATGGGGGATTGGCCACACTGTACCTCATAATAGATAATTTTTTTGCATCGCTTGCTAAAAGAAGAAAGAGAAATTAGATAGGAACAATAATAATGTTCCTTTAAAAAACTTGAAAAAGTGCAGAAGAATGCGATAAACCAGAATTCATAAAACAAATTAACAAGAATGAGGAAGGGGGACAAAGAATTGGACATATCTGGCAGTACCACTAGCAGCGTATGCTTCAGGTTGCCTGAATGAATTTATGTAGCGCTGACAGAATAGCACTGCGGCCCACACCCAACCGACTGGCTCCAAACGATGATAGGGTGGATGTATTGACTGGCAATCTGAGCATACCAATCGGTCTTTCAAGAATTATTCGTCGCAGTGAGGCGAAGCGGCGGCATGTCTGAGCATTGGTAAATCACGCGCAAGGGAGCGATGGCTTTCGTCCACATTTCGTCATCGTCGATTCTTTTCCTCGCGCTATGGAACTACAGACAAGACGCTGCCCACGGCGTTCCAGCGCGCTATGTACGTTCACTGCAGCCCCCGGAAGTATGGACGTCATCGGGACTGGTGAAGGACCTCTCCCTGGGAGGTCCCGTGGAAGGCCTTCTAAAAGTCGTCTACGGAAGGCGGGTTCAGGTTTCGGTGGTCATTAACGGCTCTTTGTGGCCCTACGAGGCATGCCTGAAACCTAAGTCGGTGTCCCTGGACGGTGCCACTGCCACCGAGTGCGTCCCGCCCTTCGCCTTAATCATGGTGGACCCGGACGCTCCCACCGTCAACGCTGCTACGGAACGAAGTAGGGTACTCTGGATGGTGATCAACGCCAAGAGCGCGACTGAGCTACACAAGGGTGAGCAGGTGATGCAGTACGAGAGCCCCACTCCGCCACCCGGAACGGGCACGCATCGATTCGTGTTCCTGGTCTACTGTCAGCGCGGCAAAACCTTGAACGGCGCTGACGTGAAAGCCGCGAAAAGAACCAATTTCGACGTGAAGGACTTTGAAAAGAAACTCGGTGTTATGATGCCCATTGGGGGCACCTTCTTTTACGCCAAAAGCCCCCGAAACCAGAAATAAAGTCGTTCATAGCCAGTCATTTACAGCCCCAGGTTGTGAATAGAGTCGCTTTTTTGAAGACCGAAAACAGGAGCTGCAGGCATCTGCGAAACCGATGAATAAATATCGATATTTTGAAAATTGTAACGTGCACTTAAAATAGTCCCATACTCAGCAAAAAGTCGTAGGCCACGTGATAAACTATCCTCGTTCTTCATATACGGGGCGAGTTCATCAGCGAAGGCTGTCACCTTCATGGCACCACTGCCTGGTAGTGGAAGGCCTCGAAAGTATGGATCAGCAAATAGCGAGCGCAAGGATGGTTCGAGGCTGAGTACAAAAAGTACCGTGGATAGAAGACAATCCTGGCGAACACCACGGGTGACTAGAAAGGGAGCGTGCTCGAACTCATCAAGAAACAGCGTGCTGTGTGTATTTATGTATGCGCTTCTAAAAACCTCGTTGGAGTTTTGTGAGATGCCAAATACTGCCATTACACTAAATATGTAGCTATGTTCTAGGCGATTGAATGCCTTCCATTGATCAAGTGAAACCAAGAGTTCCCGACCTGGTCTTGTCAACGTGTACGCAATTATATAACGTGTTACAAAGGAGAGACTGTGAATTTCTCTTCCACGAATAGAGCACACGTTATTATCTCCTAATAAGGAAGTCATCGGGCTTCTCAAACGCCGAGTGATAACTGCTTCGAAAGTCTTGTAACCAACTTGGAAGAGCGTAACTGGTATTCACTCCTCTGGCCGAACTTACGGTGGGTCATGTTTAGGCATTATAACATTGCGACCATCACGAAAGCTATCAGGGAAATCAAAGTTATCAAAGCAGTGGCAAATAACAGGTGAAAATGCCAGCAATATCATGACAAAGCGTTAAATAGCACTCAACGGGCAAGCCATCTGGCCCGGATGCCGAGCCAAGCTTAATGGAAGACAGTGCCTCTTTGACTTCGTCAGCTGACGGACTTGTGCAGAGTTGTTCAGCTACTTATGATGAAACTTGAGGCTGTCTTGGCGGTACCGCGATACGATGGCGTTGTCGTATGAGCCATGTTGGCAAAGTCAGTTATGAAAGTTGAAGGAGCACGCGCAGGTGGAAACACAACGGGAGGGCCTCACGGTGTGTGTCTTTCTGCTTTTATCCTTCGATTCAGGGGAATGGCGAAAGTTCAAATCCTTCCTGAGTGTCCAGTCAGCTTCATCTTGTGTTTGCCTTTCATACGTGCTGACATTGTATATCAAAAAACAAATATTACAAATATTTTGGTGCAGGATCAGTACAAAGTCATTAGGTAGTTAATAAGGGTACTTGCTTTGGCGAGTGGGTAGCTATTAATTGTCACCCTAGTGCGCACTGCTTAAAAGACGAACACTTGGGATGAATGACTAGACGGACCCAAGCGCAAACTTCCACTCCTTCCATGACACACCTGTCTGCTTCCCTACGTCAGGCGTACGTTAGCACTGGGACTGAAATATGCGGTTGAGCAAAAAGACAATCCCCAGAGCTGCTGAGATGTGTTCGACAAGTTACGAAGCTAGCGTCGGACATTGAAGCAGACAGGTGTGTCGCGGAAGCAGTGGAAGTGTGCGCTAGTGTCCGTCTAGTCATTATTCATCGCAAGTGTTCGTTTTTAAGCAGTGCGCAATAAGGGCAATAAGGTGACAATCATTCGGTAGTGTGTTACTTTTTTTCTGAAATGCATAGATGTATGAGTATATAGACCGCAGTGCTTATTACGAAGTGCTGGCAATGCGAAGCTATCCCCACAAAATAAACTGGTGTTTCCTACGCTTCACTCTAGAAAACTTCGTTTCCTCAAATTACTACTGGATGGCGTCCGTATTTCACGCAGCACTTATTCGAAAATTTTCTTCGCGCAGAACGTTAAATAACCGTTTTAATCTTTCTCCCAAGACAGAACACAATCGCCTTTCGACGACCTTTGCAAGCGTAGCACGCAGGTACCCCGCCATGTCTTTTCTTCGTGCTCCCGCCAGTTGTTTTTTTTTCTTTTTACCGTCACTGCGTGTATCCGTAGGCGCAGCCCTTCTATGGTATATTCTAGGAACCGTAGCCCTTCTGAAGGCTAAACTTAGCGACCAAGCAGCTCCTCGAAGAGCTCTACAAGGACGAGGCCATTGAGACCTCGCTGCGCACCCGTTCTCAACTCCGGAAGGCAGTACGCGAGCTCCAGGAGGAACAGGCAGCCGCGGTGGTCGCGCACCCAAAGCAGAAGTAGAGACGACCATGCCAGCTACTTCGAAAAGAAAGAAAAAAGTCTCAGCTTATCCACGGAGTAAATGATGATAGGTGGGGTAAAACAAAGAAAGAAGGTTACAGCATATGCACGGAGTGAATGATGATGAGTGGGGCGAAGCGTCCGTGCGTCCATCCACACCTTGGGATCCTGTCAACGAGCACGAGCTGCAGTGGTCTTCCGCACCCGGCACTTCTCGTCGTCTATGGTCCACCGAGCAGCACGATCCAGAAAACGCACTCGTAGGGTGACGATCCAAGAGAATGAGAGATAACGGGAGCGCCGGCGGAGCTTCATGCAGCCAATCGGAGAGCAGCTGCACCACCAACACCATCAAGCGTACCTTCACCAAACCGCCATATTGTACGCATGCCTATGAGACTGCGTCCTTTCGGAAACGAGACGAGAAATGAAACAAATCGTCATCTAATATATCGTCACCCAACTGCAGTTTGCATGCACCTTTAGGAAACAGTGTCATTTAAAGTAGGAGAACGGAGATGCTACCGGGTATACAGAGGATGGTCAATGACTGACGCCACACGAGCACCAGCCAGGTCTCACCGTAGGAGCTTCGCCCCTAAAAGACGAAACGGAGATTCTTGGCCAATCCTCCAAAGTATGTATAAGCCACACGAGCACGTGACCAAGAACGAGAAAAAAACGCAACATTAAAGCCGCCTCAATGCTTTCTTAACCCGTGGTTATTCTTGCAGCAGCCACAATCGCAAGCCATATTCCGGGTTCTTCCCGCACGGCGAATCACTCGTCACCAGCGCCAGCCGGCGCACAGGAGGAGAGCTCCACTCCGAGCACCCTTTCTCGAGCCGATACAACGGGAAGTGACATGTCATCTGTCTCCAGTTCCTCTTTGGAGCGTCACACGCCTGCCTAGTCACTCGCAACTTTCGGACTCGGAGCAAGAAAAACAGAGAGGCCAAAAGCCACTCTGCGCTTCTCCCCCCCCCTATCTTACTCTCTCTCCCCCGCCGACCACCAATGCCTACTTGAGCATATTTTAACAGGCACGACTACGTACACACAAGAGAAGAAAGGACAAACTACAGCGCTGTGGTTTGTCTTTTCATTTTCATCGATGCATTTGGTCGCCAGCAGAGAAACTAAGGGCTTGTGATCTGTTTCGACGTGAAATGATGAGCCGAGGAGGTACTTGCGGTAGTGTTCACATGCTCAAGTAATGGCTATAGGGCTATAGGGCTTCCTTCTCAATTTGCGCATATCTGTGTTCTGTCTCAGAGAGTGAACGTGAGGCATATGCCACTGGTAGCAGCCTTTCTTTCAAGTGCTGCAGGAGAACTGCGCCTAAGCCATAAGACGATGCATCCACATACAAAGTTTGTGGCCTCCTTGTGTCGTAGTGCACGAGGACTGGTGTTGCACTTCGCAGCTGCTTCACACTTTCAAAGCTTTGCTGTTGTGCCCGGCTCCAGCACCACTCGGCGTCTGCACGTATGAGGTATCTCGATGGTTGAGTCATGTCATCAAGGCCCGGAAGAAACTTTGCCAGATGGCTTGCTGATCCAAGGATTGACCTGACTTCGGGCGTATCCTTTGGTGCCTTAATATGTGTGATGGCCTCCACTTTGGGTCAGCTCTGATCCCTTCTGCGGAAATAATGTGTCCCAGAAGCATGACATTGCTCTGTCTAAATGCACGTTTGTTGACGTTGATTGTGATGGCTGTTTTGAGAGACGACCCAGCACTTAGTGAAGATTTGCATCATGTTATTCAAGTGCTCTTCTGGACACGTTGATAGCATCTTGTAGGCATGTCAGTCCGTCCAGTCCCTATAAAACTCTGAACATCACATGCTGGTAAAGTTCTGGCCTCGTAGAAATGCCGAAGAGTAGCCTGAGGAACTGGAGCCATCCAAATGGAGTAATGGAAAGATTTAGTTGCGCGTCCGCAGCAGTCGTACGGACGCAGCCTGCTAGTCATTTTTAATGACAGACTGCGTCCGTAAAATTGCTGTGGGCGCGCAGATAAATTTGTCTCATGAACGTTGTAAACTCACGCGACTCTTTAGAGAGGGGAACCTAGCAGTAGCTTGAACGTGCGTCTAAGCTACTGAAGACTTTTGCATCGGCTATCTTGGCTAGGCATTCATCGACTGTAGGCAGCAGCATGAGTTCGCAAACTGGCCATCGTTAACCGTATAGTTCATTGTTCCTTTTCTTTGCTATGATCATTGGGAAGCCCCACTGTGTCGCATGCTCCAAGTTCTGTGTATGCCGCCGATTTATTCCATTCTTTTGTGTCCCACTTCAATGAGGGGTAGAAGAGGAATAGGCACTCGGCTTGGTTAGCTGAGTGTGTATAGGGCTTAGCGTCGCTGGTCACTTTGATGCGCTAAGTGGTCTCCATCAACCCAAGTCCTAATATCAGCCTGGCGGTACTGTGCCAGAATGTCAGAGAAGTCACAGTTATGCTTTTCTGCCAACTCCAGTGGCCACTGCACTATGATCAGTAACTCTACTGCTGAACGATTGAGAAGAGCTTCTCTCAGCCGTTTGATGACGAAGACCTTCTCTTGTAGTCTTGCGTTTCGCCATTCTGCCGTGGCCCTGAAGTAGCTTGCTGTGTCCATTGGCACTTGACCTGGGCCAGTCAGGGCCTGGATTGCTGTTTTCTAAAGTCCCATGGTGTCCCTGTGATAGTCCTTAAATGGCACTACAGTGCAGTCAGCACCTGTGTCGAGTTTCAATATGAGAGATGTGCTGGT